AACTTCAGAAATGCTCTGGTACATCAGAGCAAACGAAGCATGTTGTTTCCCACCAATCCAACCTTTCCAGAAATGAGCAGAGCATGGAGGTAATAAATCCCTGCCATGCTGTTGCTGCCAGTGACTTCCACACCAGCTGTTATGCATAGATTTTTCACTTAACTGTTATGGCCACCAGCTAGTGTCAGATTTATTTTCTACACAGTTGACCAATCCTGCACGGACATTACTGTGGTAGCTTGCTGCAGTTTTAGTCACAAAAGGAACCAGTTGTGCTGAAGACCTCGTTCTTCTTGTGGGAACTACATTGATTGCAGTGACCTCCATGCCTGGACTTCAACTCAACCCCATAAGACAGAAATTCTTGATAACTGTATATTTACTGGGAAAGCACTTTCAGTACATGCCATGAAAACAGAGCATTTAAATATCTCAGCTGGTAAGCAATCCCAAATGATTCCCCAGTCCTGCCCAAAGAATTTGAAATCTAAACAACTTTCTGTGGTATTACTTCATATGTGATTTCAGGACAACATAGGACAAGGTTTGCTGGGCCATACGGAAGGACTGTTGAGCCCAGCACTTTCCTGTCCACATTAACCAACCAGATGCTCCTTGGGGAGCCCACAAGCAGGTTAAAAAGCCAATCATCCTCTTCTGCTGTTATTTCTTAGCAGCTGGTGTACAAGCACAAAATGCTAGAGAGAAGTAGGCCTTAGAATGTTCAATGGGACTTTTCTGGTTGGCAAGTGAATGTATGTAGGATTGTGGCTATCAATGCATTTAAGGTGCTTTAGAGCAGTGGTCCCCAACCTTGGCCCTCCAGATGTTCTTGGACTTCAACTCCCAGAAATCCTGGGCAGCAGAGGTGATGGTGAAGGCTTCTGGGAGCTGTAGTCCAAGAACATCTGGAGGCCCAAGTTTGAGGATCACTGCTTTAGAGAATGCTGGGTGACGAACTGCCTTTGACTCCATGGGAAATCTCCTCTGTCTTGTTCCTTATTTTGAAGAAGTGCTCGTGAGAGTGTTGGCTACCCACCTTCCAAATGCTGGCTTCTTTCCCATAGACTACTGCCATGCTGTTGGCCTTGTTGGATTTAATCAGTTGCTTCTCCGTCTCGTTGAGCTCCTCAGACACAAAACCCATGAAGGAATTGTCAGGTGTGTGAGCTGTGGAAAAATAAAAATCCACACGTTTGACTGTCATTAAGGTCCCAGTGGGATTCTCCACAGACCTTGCTCTGCTCTTTGTAACATAAACAACCTTTTCCCAGTAGAGCGCCCCATCCAGAGTGTCATGGAGACAATCCTCACCAGGTTGGATGACGCGTGGCAGTCGAGCTACATATCCATCTTGTGACATATACAGACTGCCACATGCCCCCCCACATAGCTTCCCACGGTTACAGTACACATTTTCTGGTAAGTCACAGCTGGAGAGGGAAAGGAGAGGGAAAGGGATCGAAACAATCCTGCTACTGCACAATCTTTTTGATGCCTTTTCCCTTTATACAGGAATTGCATTCATCCTTTCCCCCCTCCTTTTGCTAAGCCCCATGGGACTTAGTAAGCAGAGGGGAAAGCAGAGATCAAAGCCATCCTGCAGCACTTTGATCCCTGCTTTCCTTTTGCTAAGGCTTAGCAAGTGGAGAGGAAAGCAGGGATCAAAGCCCTGCAGGATCACTTTGATCCCTGCTTTCCCCTCCACTTGTGTTTGTTCTCTCCTCAGCTACTTCCATGTATAAGACGCCCCTCAATTTTTAGTCTAAAGATTTTAGACAAAAGTATAGTCTTATACACAGAAAAATATGGTGTTTGTGTGTGTATATATAGTACAAGGCTCCTTGTATGTATGAGGGACGTGGTGGCGCTGCGGGCTAAACCGCAGAAGCCTGTGCTGCAGGGTCAGAAGACCAAGCAGTCGTAAGATCAAATCCCGTCGCTTTGTCCCAGCTCCCGCCAACCTAGCGGTTCGAAAGCATGCAAATGCAAGTAGATAAATAGGGACCACCTCTGTGGGAAGGTAACAGCGTTCCATGTCTAAGTCGCACTGGCCATGTGACCACGGAAGATTGTCTTTGGACAAAACGCTGGCTCTATGGCTTGGAAATGGGGATGAGCACCGCCCCCTAGAGTCGAACACGACTGGACAAAAATTGTCAAGGGGAACCTTTATCTTTACCTACTATGTATGTATGTATGTATGTATGTATGTATGTATGTATGTATGTATGTATGTATGTATGTATGTATGTATGTATGTATGTATGTATGTATGTATGTATGTATGTATGTATGTATGTGTTGAGAGAGAGTGGCTAGCCCAAGACAAATCTATTAATTTCATGACTGAGTGTCTCTCCAGTTTGTGCTGGGCATTCTTGCCTAACCATGCCCCAAAAAATAAGTTAGGATGAGAAGCTGCAGGAGTGCTGGGGGCCTTGCAACTCACAGGAAATTTGCTTTTCATTTCCCCTAGAGGGCACAAGGTATTTTTGTTTTGTTTTGTTTTGTTTTTTCAAAGTAGAACTTTCAATACAAAAATTACATTGTGAGATATAAAGGTGCTAGGGTCCAAACTGGGTCCCTGGGAGTGATATGTGGCCTATCCCTGTTTTTCAGAGATAGGCCTTTGGCTTGAAGCCCAACACAGTCTCTCAGGGAGATCATGCTGGGCACAGTGCTTATGTCAGTGCATTGGTTCCAGCAATCCTGGAGCTTCTGAAGGAGGATATGTTGTCTCAGTGCAGGGGCTAGATTTAGAGAATGCTTATGTTGGTCTGGGTTCATAGGCACAGAAACCTCTGGCACTGGGATCTCCTTTACTTCAGTTTTGGATGACCCTGACTCTCCAGTGGCGCTTAGAACTGAGCTAGCACCACTGGTTTCTCAGTCTCTCTACAGTTATGTCCAAGTCACTGCTGGACTCCAGATTAGGACATAGGAATGAAGAGAAGGCCCAGAGGCTGGCAGTCATGAGGAAACTGAAGGCTTCAGCTTAGCTGCTAGAGAGTAAAGGGACAGCAACAATGGTGCGAACTAACACTCCTCACTCTGCCACACACAGAGACACACACTCACACACATACTCAATGGGGCTACTTTCAGAAATCCTGACTACTTTTCAGGATGACTGTTTTTTTCAGTTTCATCCATGTTATCCTTATCTTTCCCACAAGATGTGCATTTCCCAGCTATTCTTTATAGATTTCCCATCTCCTCTATGACAATTTGGGGAGTGAATATTTGCAACTACATATATATTAAAGAAGTGGGTGTTGAAAATAATGTTCTAACAGAATGCCAGGCTGAAAATTCCCATTTGTTTCTTCTCTACTATAGTCCTCAGGTGATTTTATTTTATTTTATCTTATTTTTACCACAAAACCACATCCCACACCACCTTCTGTCACTTTACTTCCAGCTGGGGAAGGGATGACTAATTATCTTGGCAGTTCTCGGAGAGAGCTACTGGCATTGAAATAGCTCTCTATCAGCTACAGGTCTTCCACCCCAACCAGGCTGGGTGAACTGGGGGTCTTTGGGCCATTCAAAAGTATAATTAGCAGAACAGGGGGAGTGGGAATTGCTAACTGGGAATTCTAATTAAAATGTTAGGCTCCATTAATTTGGCATCACTGCCAAGGTTAAGGTTAAGAGCAATCAGCAAATATACCTACCCAGAACCCCTTGGGAAATTAGGCTGGAATAGTAGACACAGCTGAATCTCTAGCATCTTATCCATGATATGGACGTAAGACATATCTTTTTATTTCCTCTGGAGCATCTTCATCTTGCAGAGCTTTCAGTTCTAATCTTAGTGTTTTATTTTTATGGGTTTTGAGAATGGAAGGTCAATAAATCTGTATAAATGATACAGGTGACTGGTTCAACCTGTAAGCCAAGCAGGAGGTGAAAAGTGCATATGGCCCATTGAAAAGTGATCAGGTGAAGAGGTCAAGCAGTTAATGAATAGGGGACTCCTCAGAAATGAGCACCAGGCTATTTTTAGGGGAAGAGATGGAGTAGATGTCTGAGGGTTGTGCCTTTACGCTATGACAAATAAGAGTCAGATTATGCAAATTACATAATTTATGTTCTTTTCTGTAGGTCTGGGGGTTGTGCCTTTACGCTATGACAGATAAGAGTCAAATTACATAATTTATGTTCTTTTCTGTATATGTCCGCTCCTGACAAGGCTGAATGGATGAACCAAATTGTCCAGAGAAAATAAAGGCAGCTTAATCTCACTCTCTCTTCCTGAGGCAGGAAGAAACATCCCACCTCTTCCCTTTGTCAGGACTGACCTTCCACCACTGCCACCCACCCTCTTTCTCCTTCTCAGAATGAGGCAGTGCATGCTCAGTCCCTCAATGAAATAACTCAAGAGCTTGTGCAGTTATCTGATGAGGCCAGTGTAAATAAAGCTGCTTCTGCCTGTTGATGGAAACATGTTTTTAAAAAATGCTAGGTGGGCATATTTTGAAAAGCTGTTCTTGGATGGAGCCACCAGGAAAGACCTTTCTCAAGTTCTTTCCACATGGATGTCAGATGTTATTGACAGAAAAAGATCTCTTCCAAAGATCTTTAAACCAGAATAGGTTTATACTGGATAACACAATCTGTCAACTAACCTGGTCCCAAATCATGCATAACTCCTTATATTAATCAACATTTTGAATGATTCCCAGAAATGGACTGGTACGCAATGAAACTGTTGTAAAGTGGAGATCACACACTGTCTGTCACTGGCTCTGGTCAAAAATATGGACATAGCCCTCTTAAGTAAACCTATAGGTAGCCACATGAGGCACAATATACAGGTAGCCACCTTCTTATTCTACTTGTGGGCTTCCATGAGACATCTGGATAAGTTAGACTGGTCTGAGTCACTCTGGAGGACTTAGCAGCCAAATTGTCACACACAGTGCACCTTCCATGGACTGTAGCAAGCAAAAGTGGAAGTGACCAGACACCCACTTTTGTTCTTCCTGTGTAGGGTTCACAGGAAGCTTGGGTTTTAGGGGGCCCTGAAACCTCCCTACTCCAAGCATGGGAAAGCTAGCTTTAAAGGTATGTCTATGTGTGTTTCCATGTGAGGCCTGTTGGTTAAAAAAATAGCTTGGGGGACACAAATGGTGTGTCGGCCATACTTTGCTCATTCCTTGACTAGATGGTGAAAACCCTGCAAAGCTACCTTTCTGTTATTACATTTGACATCCCATAAGAACAGCCCTGCTGGATCAGACTGAAGAGCTATCTAGTCTAGCATTCTGTTCCTGCAATGTCTAACCGGACCTCTAGCATTATTACTTGTTCCATTTCCTTCTTATCCCACCTCCTCCAGATTCATAGGGCCAAGGAAGCTAGGGGAAGCCCCAAAGCAGAACAGGAGCACAGGAGCACCTTTCCACTCAGATGCCGGCCATGTTGAGCCACCATGACTGGTGGGCACTAACAGCATCTCCTCCTCCCCAGTGTCACCCCACTTGTGATGAAATAAATGCTGTAACCACTTACGAAACATGGTCATGAACTGTTTGGGACTCAAGTTCCAATAGCCCCAGTTTGTCCGGTAGCCGTGCAGTGTTGCATATTCCTCATGGTTGTATGCAGGTTCAGTCCCAAAAGTGTCAATGACTCGAACGCGGCATCTGTACAAAAGAAGAGGTGGGGAAAAGACATGACAGTTATAGCCTGTGTGGAAAACACATACAAAATATGAGCCAGTGGCTATCCAGAGGCCTTGTATCTACTTGCTGTTGAATGGAAAGTCTTACCTTCTATGATTCTTGACTTAAGAAAGATCTGAGGGCCCTGGAGTTTCCAACACACAGTGATGCAGCCCACCCACTGTGGGTACCAATTAGAGGCGATGGCATCCATGTAACTGGATGTAGGAATGCAAGCCCTCAGATTAGGACAATATGACAAGGCAAAGTCATCTGCTCTCTGGGCTGGAAACCACGTAAGATGGTGTAAGAACTTGGAAATAAGCAAAGACCTAGACTAACGCACCAAATAATCTGTGAAAGCATTTTAAGGTCTGATTATACTGTATAAGACAAGTTAGATGGACTGAAGCACTGCTGAACACTGTTAAACACTGCCACTAAGAAGGTATGTATACGACTGTGTACAGGTGCCCATATTCTTCTAAGTAAGAAGGTACGTATACGACTGTGTACAGGTGCCCATATTCCTCCACCTTTTTGAATGAAGGTCAACATTATAATACACAAATATCACATATGTATCATAATGAATGATAGATGGGTGTGTCTTCCTTTAGGATGCTCAGTAATCCATTGCTTAAAAAAAAAGAATGTGAGACTCATTTGTAAAAAGGGTTATGTTGATGAATGTGTGAATATGCAGATTAGGAAATGATTACTATAATTTAAATTTGACAGAGACAAAGTAATGAATTTTCCATCCAAATCACACCACTCCAGGTTATCCAAATTGGTATCCTTATTGAATTAACTTACCCCAGATGATCCAGATCCTGCTTTCAGAATAAAGGTCGCTTCAATAATTATTCCCTGCTTCATGTTTTCAATTATTCATGTCATTATCGTCCCTAAATCAAGCTAAATTCATGACAAATGGGCTTGCATTGCAATTCTTTTTCGAATGGGATGTTGGGATACTTTTTATGAAACATGGACACATCGTGGCCATATAAGGGGCCTGTCGGTCTTTCTTAAAGGTAAAACCAAGCTAAACAACACCAAGTAAGCCAACCCAAGATGCAAAATGAAATTTGCCTGAAGGATTCTGGGAGTCACAGTCTCCAACTGTAACTTTTCCAGGCACTGTACCAAAGGTTCACTATCTCTCAGCAGCGTGGCATAATAAATGAGAATATTTTCTCTCTCTCTCTCTCTTGCCACCAGCCGAGCATTAACCGCATCATGTGATTTGCCCAGTTTGTGTCCACCAAAAGGCACTGGGACTTGCTTGAGCTCCTAGAAGCTAGGCTTAGCAGGAACTCCATTTCAAGAACAGGGTGACAAAGAACCAAAGGCCTATCTGGTCCATTATTCTGTTCACCCAGTGATTAGCTAGATGCTCTGATGGAGAACTCACAAGCAGAATATGAGTTTAAAAGTTGCCTTTTCCTTCCCCCCAACCCCCCAGCATGATGGCTATATTCCTGTATATATTCATGGCTGGTAACCACTGATCCACATAACCTACTACTAGCTTTACACAGTTTTAAGGCAAATACAGGTAGAAGAGAAAGAGACTGTCAGCCATAATTAATGTTGATGAGGTTTCCTTTCTCTAAATGCTTTCCTCAGCATCCTGAAATTGGTTCATAGCATTAATGGAGGTGGGAGAGAAAAAAAGAGAGAGATGGACAGTATGAAAGCAAGCACATGAATACCAGCTTCTCTCCTTCGACTGAGCTGAATGTAGAGAGAAAATTGATTTATAATAAAAGCAGTAAGACTGCCTGCCATTTTTCTCCCTCATAAATTCCTGTAGGATAACAGGAGGGAAGGAGAAAACGGTAATGAATAGCAGGAGTATCAGCACTAAATTAAATCACAAAATTTAGCTAGCTGCTTATCTGACAAGAGTTTTGGGGTTTTTTTAAATTAATTTTTTTGTTTACTCTCTAAATTGAAGAAAGAGAGAGAAAAACAAAACAGGCCCTCAGTTGATTCATCCCTTCACCTTTTCCTCTTTTCTTGTGTGCCACCCCCCAAAAAAAAAACTCACCTATGGAGGGATATTAGATTATTTACATTTGCAGTCTCAGCCAGTCAGCCCCCACATTCTCCATAGAAAACATTAGTATTATTAATTTATTTAAGAGGGCAGTCTATGAGACGGTTTTCTCTTTAGTGACTATAACCCAGCATGTGGCAATGGCAGCTGGGAAACAGCGTGGAGGCCATTCACTGGGCAATTTACCAGCTGTCCCAGCCATAGAGATAAACCACGCTATGAAGAAGTCTTAAATTATGAGGATGTATGGGAAATTCATTGGCTGCCTGGCTGGAAGGATAAGGGAAGCTTAAATGTTAAAGACAGTTTCCATTTCAGTTCCATTCAAATTATTGTGTAAATCTCAAGCACTCCATCCTTAGGGAAAAATAATAGTGCAGCGCACTTCACTCTTTTGAAAAGATAACAAATGAAGGGGGGGGAAATGGCTGGCAAGGTGAAATGTATTGAGATAAAATTATTGTAATAACTATCCACAGAATTGTTATATGCTCTGTACAGCTGTGATCGTGAAAGGATAGAAAAGAAATTGAAATGGAACCCGAGAAAAAGTGACCGGAAAGATCTTGGATATTGTATGTTACCCACCCACTCTGACAGACTGATGAGAAACATAAGAACATTTCAACATAGGAAAGAGATGACAAGGTCTGTGCACCACGAATACTTAAAATAAAATAAAAAAAACACCGTTGTTTTTGTGACAACAGTGTTTTCCCCTGACCCCTGGCAAAGAGGAGGAGGAAAGAGAGGAGAAGCAGCAAGCTAGAACCCGGGAGCGGACAAAAAAAGGAACACGAAGGAGCCTTTTGCACAAGGCTTTCAGTGTCATGCTGTCCTTGATTCCAGGAAGATACTAAAGCTGGAGACTAGTCCCAGAAGCCCCATGAACTATCTGAGATCCTTCTCACCTAGCTACACTTGCTTCTTGCAATCTCTTGGATCACAAGATTTGAAGAGTAAGGAAGCGACGGATGTCGTTAACAGGATGTGCAAGGTTTCTGAGAAGCACACTGCAGCCCATCTAGGATTCTTCCATCCGTATTTTTCATTACTATAGTGTGGCATGGAGTTTCCACCTTCTCTCAGACAATATAACATGGGGGCAACTGGGCAGAAAGGGGTCATCAGCACTCCCAACATTGTTACCTTCCCTTATGATTCAGGAATACATGTATCAGATTCTGCCACTCTAGTAGTTTGTGCCAATCTAATAAGATTGGAGACAAAGACCTCCAATCACGTTTGCTTATTTGTCAAATGGCTGCTGACGGGGAATGGCATGCCCTCCACAGTTTCTAGAGATGGAGACTCCAAAGTCACAAGTCACTGTTGAGTCTGACTTCAGTTGCACCAGCAACTTGACTTGGGCTCGACTCCAGGGTTTCAGGAGGGCGTCACGACTCAGCTTGTGGCTCAGACCCATTTGTCTGAGTTGTGTTGTCGAGTCCCTATGGGCTTCCCTACTTGATGCTGCAGCCGCCACTGCCAGCCACCACTGCCATCTTCAGAGGCAGTAGGCCAACTTCCTTTCCCAGAGCCAGCTCTTGCCTCTGCACATGCGCCAGCCCAGCAGCTGGGCAGTGCATGCATGGATGGAGGCAGCAACTGGCTCCTGGAAGGGAAGTTGGGCTTCTTGCCTCTGAAGAGGGCAGCAGGAGGAAGCGGGTGGTGGTGGGTGGCAGCAGTGGCAGCAGGTAAGAAACCCTGCTATCTCTGTGCATGTGCCAGCCCATCAGCTGGGCAGCACATGCATAGTCCATCTCTTTGGGTCCGAGTCCTGAGTTCAAAGCCTTAGGGGCAGCACAAACAACCCGAGACTAAGACTCGAGCTTGGGACTTGGGACTGAGGACGAAAGACTCAGACTCAGACTTGGGACTTAGGTTCGAAGACTTGCCAACATCCCTAGCCATTTTTATTTTTGAATTGTTTGTTGATGAAGAATCATACCACAGTTCAAAGCAGATAGCATTAAGGAAATCAGAAGGGATTTTTTTTTAAAAAAATGGGTTGATCAGTATGTGTACTAGATTCACAGTTTGGGCCTGTAGCTGACTTTCACACAACTGTTTCACCAATGATGCCTCAGAACAAGGCTGATGAAAGTAAGTGAGCAGCATAATGGCAAAAGTTCTTTTAAGTCAAACTTTGGCACAGAAGCTCGTACGAAGAAGCAACGTATTCAAAGAAAACAGCCCTGCATTACCTGGTGGATAGCTCAGTGGTTTAGGTCTCTGGATGGGGATCCAGAGGTTGGGAGTTCAATTCCCCCACTGTGCCTTCCTGACAGGGACTGGATTCAGTGGCCCATAGGGTCCCTTCCAGCTCTGCAGTTCTATGATGATGATGATGATGATAGTGATGATAGTGACAATGGTATCTTTCCAAACAGGGAATGTGCTGCAATTGCTGATTGTGTCCTCCACTTGATGTTCCAAGAAAGAGGAAGAGTCCCACCTGGTTCCTGACCAAGGCATTGGGTGAAGATGCTTCACCTTGCCACTCTGGCTGAAAACTTGATTTAGCCTGGGATTTCCAGTCATACCACCCAGTCCAAAGAAGGGCACGCAGGTGGCACTACAGCCCACCACCATAAAATTGTGTGTGTGTGTGTGTGTGTTTAAATCCTTGCTATATATGCACTTACAGTATCAATATAAGCACATCTTGGAAGAGGGTGATTTGGGACAGGTGGATTACCTAGCTTTCCCCAGCTCTCCTCCCAAACTATTAATCAACATTTTTATCACCACCACCATCAAGAATATTAACACTGTATGAATATAGGAGTATTCATATGATAACATACTTTAGGCACTCATCAATTATTAGTATTCATCAGTTTGTCATTCATCAGTTTCTGTACCCCATATGTGTCTCCCTTTGCATTAAAAACCCTCTTGAGGAAAAGAATCAATCGGCTAAGCATTGCCTGGGGCAGACCACAGAAGAGCAAAAAGGGTAGACTTGATGGGGAAAACAAGATCAGTCTGAGAGACGGTAAAAAAGTAGGGCTCCCAGCCACTGAAAGCTTCGTGTTCTCTGACATCTGGAATGCCAAGGATTGTGACACATTGTAAAGCACCGTTAGAGAGATGTACTGATTGAATGTGTACACCTCTGCCTGTCAGTTCTGTCACTGCCATCTCCACCTGCCACCTTTTAAAAGGATAGAAAAAAGGGAAAGGTACAGGGGGCAGGGAGTCACCACCCCACGTCTCCTTACCTGTATTTCTTAAAGGACAGGCCCATGTGCTGCTTCATTTGCTGTAGTCCATGGTAGTCTGTGTAAATCAGGTCAAAGGGCAAAGGGACTGTCAAAGGGCAGTTACCTCGTCCAGGAGGCACTCCTAAAATACTAGAAAGAACCAGAAAGAGATAATCAGCGTTTGAGGAGAGATGGACAACCATCCATTCAAACTCCTTTGTTTGGGACAGTTTTCCACAAAGGGGTACCCTCCATGGATTTTGGACTACGTATATCTCTCATCTATGCCAGCCAACATGGCTAATGGTCCAGGAATGATGAAAGGTGAAGACATGTGTTCTCACACAGCTCATACAGGAAACAATGAAAAACAGAAGCAAAGTGGCTCCTTTTATCATTTTGGAACAACAACTTCATTTAGTGTAGGATGCTATTACATTATTTGAATTTCTTATTTTGATGTATTGGTCCCCTTGATGTTGCTTTTCTCTCTATGTCTAGGAAAGCAATTCTCCTGATTTGTTTTTTGTTTTCAGATGTGTTCTATCTTTGCAAAAACATGCCATTAAAAATAAACAAAGTGTCTCAACTCCTTTTATTCACATTGCACATCTCCACTGCACTTTAGTCTTGCACTTCTAGCCAAAGAACATTAAAGGAGAAAAGGGCAAATCTCCAAATAATCTCCAGGTAGAGCACTTGTCTTGAAGATTCCCTGGCAAGGTGCCATCAAACGGCTGCTCATTATTCACCATTTCCTTCTGCATTTACTTCCCACTGCCCCCTACAAAGAAACCCAAGCAAGTATGTGGAAGCTGCCCCCCTTTGATGCCTGTCTCCACAAACTGCAAAAGGTAAGAAAGTGCCCTCTAATGATCTGGAAGACCAACAGTTCAGTTTCCAACCCCCTACTGACATAGAGGCCTCAACATGAAACTGCTGAGGCCAACTTCCGGTACCAGTCCTATACAGGACATTTGGAAATGTTATTTTTGTCCATCACAGTTCCCACAATCCCTCAGCCAACAAAGTCGCTGGCCAAGATGGCTTGGAGATTCTGGAAGCTGTAGTTCAAACACGTAATACTTTCAAGAGCTGATGTGAAAGGTTCATAACAGCAGAACCCATCAGATCAGACAATTCTAGTATGATAAACTAGTGATTCCCAACCTTGGGGACCCAAATGTCCCAGAAGCCTTCAACCTAGCTGCACTGGCCAAGATTTCTGGGAGAGTTTAAGAACATTTGGGGGCCATGATTGGAACCACTGCTATAAACAAATGGGGAAGGGGGGAGAGATGCTACCAGCTATGCTGTCTAGAGGGTTCTGGGACCTGAAACACAAAAAAGTAACTTTTCCAAATAAGATCACTGAGCATCTCCACCATGAAAGTTTCAGTGCTTGCAGCTGCTTCATTGCTTTTGTAAATAGAGGTTGGGGTGAAGAGTGAGAAGACATGTTCTGTCTCTTCCATTTCCATCTGGTACGATAGAAGGGCTCACATTTAGTGTGACCTCAGGAGGAAGAGTGAAAAATATTTAGAAGAATACCAACAAGGGCCATGCGGCGTAGTGAAGGAGACAAAAACAAGGGATTTTCCATTTATGGTGCCTTAGCTGAGAATCAGTGCTTGCAACTGCTTTGCTGCTCTTGTCACAAAGAATATAAGCTTCATCACCATCTAGAACAAAAAAGGGCTGACAGTGGCAAGGATAGGCTGTAGTTTTATCACTTGTAATTTAAATTCACTTTTATGGGCAATTTTACGCTAAGTGGCTGGCCAGGAAGATGACATGAATAGAAAGTCTCTTGTTGTCTGACAGCCATCTCTGGAGGGGAGGGGGAAACCCAATCAATAAAATGAAGCAACACAGAAGGGCTCCAATGCCGATTATGAAGTCGCAGGTCAGCTCATGAGGGCTTCCCTCATGCATTGCAACTATGTGGTTGATGCTAGCAGTTCAGCAGGAAAGGATTTCTAGTAACAAGAGCTTCCTCTCAGAGCAGTACATTAGTCATATGTGGGGCTGGATGGAAGAAGGGAAAGGGGAGCATGCATTTGAACAGGGCAAGCAACCTCGTATTATAATCCACAATCCTGCTGTAATAATGGGAAGCTCTCCACATGCTCCTGTGCATCCTGCCAGATGTGTAACAAATGCTGGTTACAAGGGCCACATGAGATTGTACAGGGAGATTGGATAGAGGAAATTGGGATGGGCAAGACAAGGGTCCCTCATCTCTTCCCTGCAGAGCGTAATGCCATCATATGCACAAGTTGCGAAAGCAAGAGCTACCTACATGTGACAGTCACTGGCTCCCACAGTCAAAGTTCCAGTAGTTTTTGATTAGCAGGGACAGTGCTATAATCTGTTTCAATCTTCTCTGTTGCTGGACTGCAACTTGCAATGTTTCTCACCACTGGCCATTGCGGCTAGGGACGATGGAAGGTGCAGGCCAATAACATCTGGACGGTTGCACTTTGCTCACCCTTACTCTACAGAAGTGCTTTCCAACCTTGAGTCCCCAGATGTTCTTAGACTATAACTCTCAGAAATCCTAGCCAGCACAGCTAGTGGTGGGAGCTATAGTCCAAAAACATCTGGGGATCCAAGATTGGGAACCACTGCTCTACAGCATTATTTCTCCAACTGGGGCTGGAAAGTGGGGAAATGCCTCTCGGGGGTAAGTGAAGAAATTCCAAGGAGGTGCAAGATTATCTTCTCTGTTGCTGGACTGCAAGTTACAATGTCTCTCACCACTGGCCATTGCAATACTGGATATATGGGTATCACAAAAACATTATTTCTCCAACTGGGGCTGGAAAGTGGGGAAATGCCTCTCGGGGGTAAGTGAAGAAATTCCAAGGAGGTGCAAGATAGTGAGATTTTAATAAAGAAAAATATATCTTCCACAGGTAGCAATACTGGATATATGGGTATCACAAAAAAAACCTGGGCTTATTTTTAGCTCAAATTTTTTATTTAGGTTTTTTGTTTATTTTAAAATATTAATTATGAATGGTTTTGTTTTGTTTTGTTAGAAGGCTGTTAGATTATGGTAAAGGAGATTTGGGAAGGTGTAAGCATTTGTCCAAAATTGAAAAGGGGGCATGCAGCTGAAAAGTGTAACTCCTGCTGTAGACTCAGCCATCCCACTTCTTTATATGTCTATGTGTTATGCGTGCGCACACATACACGCATGCACACACAAGCACACACACTTGTGTAGTTGCGTGTTTCTGTCTGGTTGCATAAAGCTGATGGCAGGATTCAGGTGCCATGAACCACCATCTAGGGATTTAACAATGGATTTAACAGGGATTCTGTTGCCCAAGGAGAGTGTAGTTTTGTTACAAAGATGTGCACTACATTCATTCATTCATTCATTCATTGTGGCCACAAAAAGAAAAAGCATCCTATTGAGCTACAGAGCCAGGAGATACTGCTGAAGATTACAGAGAGGAAGACAGCAAGGTTATCATGATCAAGGAGAAATGAGATAACATTTATCTCTGTGTTTCCAGGATGGCAAGGGTAATCGGCTGGCAGCTCCATGACTTCCAAGGCAAAGCGACTTCAGCCACTCAAGGCTTTGTCACATACAGGGGATAACAAGAAGTGGGAATCACAGCAGACTGGCTGAGTTGTGTTTCTTGCCCTCAGTACTGGGGGCACAATGGGGGTGGGGGAGATATAGTCATGCACCTGATTCGAGCCCATATTGTCCAACCATTGGGATGGCTGTTGACACGTGTTACCAATTGGGTTTTTTAAAGCATTTATTGTCATCATCACAGTCTTTTCCTTCGATTCATATTTATTACAATATCTACAACATAGTCTAGTTCTGAGGATATTGAAGTAGGATAGGATTCCTCTTGAACCTAAATCATGCGCTTGTTAGGTTGCTGTTTAGTCGTTAAGTCGTGTCCGACTCTTCATGACCCCATGGACCAGAGCATGCCAGGCTCTCCTGTCCTCCACTGCCTCCCGTAGTTGGGTCAAATTCGTGTTGGTAGCTTCGATGACACTGTCCAACCATCTTGTCCTCTGTCATCCCCTTCTCCTCTTGCCCTCACACTTTCCCAACATCAGGGTCTTTTCCAGGGAGTCTGCTCTTCTCATCAGATGGTTAAAGTATTGGAGCCTCAGCTTCAATCAGTTGTTCCATACAGTTCTGCTTGTTGCTTGCTGTCCCACGTACAATGGTACCTCGACTTACGAACTTAATCCATTTTGGAACGACATTCATACGTTGAAAAGTTCGTAAGCTGAAGTATCATTTCCCATTGAAATGCATGGGAATGGAATTAATCTGTTCCAGCATTTCAAAAGGCAAAAAGGCAGAGGAAAGGGCGGGAATTTCCAATTTTTGCCTTCAGAGCTCTCAAACGGCTTCCTCCGATGTCGGGGGAGAAGCCCTTTGACAGCTCTGAAGGTGCCAATCGCTGTGGCAGGGACCCCCAGGGAGGTCTCCCAGGGCTTGCCTGCCCTTTCTCCCTGCCTTTTTCTGTTGGCAAAAAATGGCATTGATTTACGAACAGAGCCTCTACCTCGTTGGTACGTCGAGCTCAATTCACAAGTTGATGCCAATTTTTCCCAACGGTACCATTCGTAAATCGAAAAGTTTGTATCTAGAGATGTTCGTAAGTTGAGAGTTGATTGTATAGATTTCTCAGACGATAGATAAAATGGTCAGGCACTCCCATTTCTTTAAGAACTTGCCATAGTTTGCTGGGGTCTACACAGTCAAAGGTTTTTGCCTAGTCAATGGAGCAGAAGTAGATGTTTTTCTGGAACTCTCTGGCTTTCTCCATAATCCAGCGCATGTTAGCAATTTGGTCTTAAGTTCCTCTGCCCCTTCAAAATCCAGCTTGTACTTCTGAGAGTTCTCGGTCCACATACTGCTGAAGCCTACCTTGGAGGTTTTGAGCATAACCTTGCTCACGTGTGAAATGAGTGCATTTGTACGGTAGTTGGAGCATTCTTTGGCACTGGGATGTAGACTGATCTTTTCCAGTCCTCTGGCCACTGTTGAGTTTTCCAAACTTGCTGGCATATTGAGTGTAGCACCTTAACAGCATCATCTTTTAAGATTTTAAATAGTT